AATCGTGTTCCATAAATGCCATCGCGCGGCGTGCGGCCCATCTAATTTCGACCACTTTTTGCTCGCAGTTTTACGCTAGCTCGCACGACGCACAATCGCACGACGCACAATCGCACGACGCGCGATGGCAATTTTGGAACACCATACTCGTACATGGATTTTGGAACCGCCAATACACGTACATGGATCTCGAGGCCAACACACGCCTCTATTAGCACACACGCATGCATTATGTGCGCTGTTCTCGCCGCCTGATGATGTATAGATTTTTCGCAGTTACATATGGGAGCTAGGCAGTGCGGCGCAGCGCAGCGCACGCCACCAACGGTGACTTTTCAATCGAAAGTTGATATATATTGGTCGCATACGTGGCTTCTGTCACTGCGATACCAGTCGTCGGCGAGTAGCTATGCGTAATGCGCCGTTAACGTGAAGACCCAAGCAGAATTTCAGTGAAGTTAGCCTCATGTAGTAACCGCGAACATCCCTATATCAACTCTGGTTGGCGGCGTGCAATCGCTATTACATTTCCCGATTTCCCGAGTGCATAAGGTTTACTATTTTTGATTAGTTTTTCGCGGTCTTTTTAACTATTACGGCATTGGCAACCCTTTCAAGAGCTATTACTGTAAAGAAACGATTAAACGTCAAACGATCGTACGAGTGTTTCACCAGTGGTCAGCCAATACGTGCAAGTGGTCGTGCGATACGCGTAAAAAACATCTGCTCTTCATAACGTTGCAAAATTCAGGGCACTTCAGTTCGAGTTTACGATTTCTTACTTCTGATAAACATGATGAGTAAGCAAGTGCCGGAAAACACGTCAGAGGGCAGCCCAGACATCAGAAAGAGATTTCCCATTACCAAGAGTTATAGTATTGAGGTGAGTACAGATGATATTTTGAATTGTCTATCTATCTATCTATCTATCTATCTATCTATCTATCTATCTATCTATCTATCTATCTATCTATCTATCTATCTATCTATCTATTATTTATCTATCTATCTATCTATCTATCTATCTATCTATTTATCTATCTATCTATCTATCTATCTATCTATCTATCTATCTATCTATTTATCTATCTATCTATCTATCTATCTATCTATCTATCTATCTATCTATTTATCTATCTATCTATCTATCTATCTATCTATCTATCTATCTATCTATTTCCCTCATCCTGTCCTATCTTAGTCTATCTATCACGTCCCTATCTGCCCTCACGCCTATGCTATCGTCTATCCGCCGTCCGTCGTTCGTGCTGTCTGTCCTGTCTGTGCTGTCGTCTGTCTGCCTGCCAACGCATCCCCACCCTACCATCCCCCATATGCTACTGCAACCCCCTCACCGCATTCATCCATCCATCCATCCATTTATCCATCATCATCCATGAGCCATCCACCTCCCATCCTATCTTTCACTTCATCATCATCACGCATCTCTCCATCCATCCATCCGCACTCCCTCCCATCCATCGCATCCATCCCATCCATGCCATCGCATCCATCCATCCATCCATCCTCCATCCATCCATCCATTATCATCCATCCATTCCATCCATCCATCCATCCATCCATCCCCATCCCATCACTCCATCCATCCCCTCCTCCATCCTATCCATCCACCCATCCATCATCCATCCACTGCCACTCCATCCATCCCATCCTATGGCCATTCATTCGCACTCCAATCCATCCCATCACCATCATCCCATCCATCATCCTCTATCCATCGCCTCCATCACTCCATCCATCCGCCCATCCATACATCATCATCCATCGCATCCATCATCCATCCATCCATCATCCATCCATCATCCATCCCATCCCAGTCACTCCATCGCATCCCATCCATCCATCCATCCATCCCATCCATCCATCCCATCATCATCCATCCATCATCGCATGCCCATCCATCCATCCATCCATCCATCATCCATCCATCCATCCAATCCCATCCATCCATCGTCCGTCTCATCCATCCATCCATCCATCTATTCCATCGCCGCCATCCATATGCCCATCCATGCAGGCCATCGCAGCCATCGCATCATCCATCCGATCCATGCCATCCATCCATGCCATACCATACCATCCATCCATCCATACCATCCATCCGTGCCGTCCGTCCGTCCGTCCGTCCGGCGTCGCGTCCGTCCCGTCGCGGTCCGCGCCGTCCGTCGACGTCGCGTCTCGTCCGTCGTCCGTCCGCCCCCATGCCCATCCACCCATTGCGCACGCCATCCATCCATACATGCCAGCATGCCACTCCATCATCACCTCCATCACTCATAATCCCATCCATGCCATTCAATCCATCCATCATCAATCCTCCATCCATCCATCGCAATCCTCCATCCAACCCATCCACTCCATCCATCCATCCAATGCCATCCATCCATCTAATCCATCGCCCTCCTCCCACTCCATCGTCCTCATCCATCCCACTCCCATCCGGATCCCTCATCCATCCATGCCATCCATCCCATGCCATCCATCCATCCATCCATCGCATCCAATCCATCGCATCCGTCTTTATTTTTTCCTCCATTTGTTTTTGTATTTTGCCATCACCATCCATCCATTCATCCATCCATCGCATCCATCCATCCATCCATACGCATGCCCATGCCATGCCATCCATCCATCCATGCCATCCATCCATCCATTCCAGCACTCCCATCCATCATTCATCCATACACGCACACGAGCACCCCCCGCACCACACACACACACACAGACGACTTTGATAGATAGATATATAGATGGGTCATTCCATCGGATTGGGGAAGAAAGCGTGACATAATAAAATGTCTGTGAATGAATATGTGATTGAATGTGATTGAATGTGATGAATATGTGATGAATAAGCAACTTGATATGTGATATAGTGCTGCATACGCACTGTTCTCCACACCCGATCGGGAAATTACCTCCCAGACTAGATATTGGCCTAATGCTAACCCTATTATGTTGTATCAAGGCCAGGTAGCACTTTGTGAGATTGTAGATACTGTACTTGGTGCAGCGCTATAGGTGCGACTACATTGCCGATGGGAAGAGGGAACGCATGCACTGCTATCAACGACCTCTACCTACGGCGTCTCCTAGGATGGCTTTGCGTGCAATCTCCATAGCCGCGTAAGGTCGAATACCAGGCGATAAATCGCCGATAACCGTGTGTATACGTCGGTGTAGGTCGCTGTCGCTATGGTATAATAACACCGCCCGGGAAGAGAGTGAGAGAGGTGGGGGAGAGGGGAGAGAAAGATCGAGATAGAGCACCGCAAGAGACGGGCAGAAGAGCAGGAGCAGACGATAGACGAGCCAGGATATACTCAATACACCACTATATATATACTCCTATATACTATCTATATACTATCCACTACTATATCACCAAGATGAGACCGAGCGAGACAGAGAGAAGCGACGAGACGAGCACCGAGAGAGAGAGAAACAGACCCGCAGAGAGAGAGAGAGAGAGAGAGAGCGAGAGAGAGCTGTGCAACATTAGTTTTAACAATGAAAGCATTAGTGCTCTCGCTGGGCATCATTCTAGACAACCTTTAGGACGCAGTCGTGTTATACTTCGCGTCCATATTTAGCGGCCTGTTAATTACTGCATTGTGTCTATAGTAAGGCGACTGTCCGTAGACCATGTCGGAACAACAAAGCTGAAATGTTGAGATCTCTTCGGTTTTTGAGTATCTAACGAATTATGCGCAGTACCGACTAGAGATGTTGCATCGCAAAAAGAGAGATATAGAATATAATCAAGATATAATTGATACGCTACATACTAGCGCTTCGGGCTTGCGACGTTTTATTTGCGTTCTCTCGCATGGCCATTAGCGACAAGTAAACGCAACGGGCGTATTTTCTATAGTTTTTTACAAGTCTAATATGCGTCTTTAACTGACGTTTAAGGAAAGAAAGACGCGCGTATTTGTTAAATATGTTTGCATTCAATGGCGCAACTGGAATAATACATGTGAATCGACACCACGTTTACATCCTCACGTACGCTAAGACCATATTAGGAGTGAATAAAAGCATTTGTTCTTCTTCATCTTCGTGTACGTGTTTATCATGACGTGGTAATAAAACAGTAAAGCCTTCTCATTTTTGGCAAACATTTGGTCTCCAGAAAATTCTTTTTTTTCGGTGAAAATTGCCGGCCTAGAGTGCAATAATCTGCATATATGCTCAATTTTTTGTGGGCTCATTGGACGTCTAGAAAGCATTAGAATTAAATTTTATATACTAATGTAAAATTGGTATTGTCCGTGGTAGTTGTGAGCATTCCGTCAAGTGCGTAAGGCCATGGTGACGCCGGTTCGGGCCATTTTTGTGTTTGAAAATGTGGACTACATTGTAGAAATTCGCATCCTAGGGCTGGCAAAAGTTTTCGAAGCTAAGGCATAGTGCAATGAATGCTGTAGTTATTTAACATGAATAAAGTGTATGTTGTGTATGCGAACGACACAGTGTAGTATTTTAAATTAATTTCTGTTTGATGCTTATTCAAGGCCTGCTGCCTATGGATCGCTTCTACTGTTGTAGCAATAACTTATAGCGGCCGGCCGTAGAGGGTGCATTATGCGTTATGCAATTAATGCATTATGCGTTAGAGATTGGCTCGTGTGCTGTATAGCTGGTCCACTAAGATTTTGCGTGTATGATGATGCGCAACGTAAATGTTTGTATGGTGGAGCTTCCACGCTGAATACGCGGTGGAGGCGAATGGAGGCAATGTTTGCGGCTTACCTAAAACGAAAGAGGTCAGCCTATGACAGCTCCGATGATCAATCGAGAGAAACGTACATGTTATTTCACGTTTTTTGAAGTCGGATATGCGAGCATGGTGGCTGCGGGGCGGCGCGCCGCGCGCGTGTAACGCTCGACCGAGGCCGGCGCGGACTATGGCGTCAACGAACTGAGATAAAACGGGGCATTCCCATACGTATAAATAGAGGAGCGCGTGAAAGAGAATCAGGAAATGTGCGGTCAATAGCTAAATATTCGAGGCTAATGTTTAAGCGATTGCCAAGCAGAACACGGTAATGTTTTGCATTGAGGCGTCATCGCACACCATCACTCACAGCTGGATGTAGGGTCGTTGTGCCCCCGTGAGCTTTCTTCACTCGTTTCCTGCGAGTTGACGAATGCAGTTGCTCTCCGATGTTTTGTCATGTTTCCTCAGTAGAAGAAGGCGCTTTAGGAACACGAAAGACGCCGTTATCTCTGGCGCCGTAAGCGATGGCAGATCTCAATAATGGATGTAATAAATTAGTTGGCATATATTTGCTACGGCTTCTGATTAGTTTTTAATTAAAATAAAAGAAAGGGTTGTACTCCAACGCACTGTCACGGCGCAAACCTAGTATCGCTGGCACAGCGACGACACACAGCACACACACACACACACACACACACGACACACACATGACACACCACACACTACACACACACACCGACACACACTACACACACACACGAAGGCTCACACACACGAATACGTGCACACACACACACTACACACACGCGCGCGCGCAAGCACAGACGCATGGCACGCCACGCACGTAGGACGCTACCACACCACCCCCCACACATATGATATATATATATATATATATATATATCACTTGATTTGTATGTGTTTTGTTCAGGCGAGTATAGACACGGAAAGTACTCTAAATTGAACGCCGCGATGTCTGGCAACGGCGGGCTGCTAGCTGCGCTGCTCTAATGATGGGCGAGCGGTGTCGTATTTACGGAGAGTATGTGACTAGTCTATTGACAAATAATACTCGGGCGGGATGCAAGCGTACTCCGTGTGACAAATATTGATGGCCGTGTATGTAGGGGCTTCCG